ATGGGGAAAGTTCCTGCGGTGGAAATGCGACTAAAACATTCTATACAATGCAAGTCAATTTGGACCCCATGGACTTTCATTGCATGGACAAAACAGTTGAAACATTCTTCAAAATATTTTCTTTTGTGTTTCGCAGATGAAAGAAAGTCGGTTACAGGTGTGCAACAACATGAGGGTGAGTAAATGATGACACAATTAAAATGTTCGGGTGAACTATCCTGAAACTGACCATCTTGTAGTAGCATCTTAGTGCCACAAGAGAGTAGCATGTAGTCACAAAAGCAAACATCTTCCCTGCTGCCAACTCTGTCATCCTTATCTTCAAGCATTACTCCCTACTAGTTTGTCATGTATACAGTCACTTAACATAACATCTAACAACTTCACTGTAGGCTTCAGCCAGAGCTTCATTTAAATATGAATTGAGCAACCGATACACACACCTGGGTTCTTAGACCAATTATTATCATAAAAACGTTGCCTTAACTTTTACACAACATAATTTGTGGCTCAGTGCCTTCTTGAAATCATGTGTGAGATATTCATTGCTATAGAAACTAGACTGCATTAACATCGGAAATAATAATTGCAGTATAAAAAATATGAACAATGAAAGGTAACATTAAATACAAAGTGTAAATAATCATGCAAACAAATTTACAGCATTTAAAATAACACAGTGAATACAAACTTTTCCACAATCTGACATCAATCACATTTCCAATGTGTTTATACATGCGTCATCTTACATTTAATGAAATTCCTCTCCTCTTTTATGCAGCTTATTTATACCATCTCAGAGAAATATGAAGTTCATTCGCTGAATAAAGAATGTGAATATGTGTGGTCACGCATGGTCCAAACGTATCTGATTGTGCTGCTGCTCGACTGTGAGCTGTTCCACAGCACCACGGATGGCTGCTCGCACCATTGAACTTGCCGTCTGAATCAGTAAGGTCTCATTACATCTGCCATGGTCATGTTCAGTAGACACATTTAGGTCAGAAGGATGTAGTGTGTTTGTTATTTTTAAATGTTGCCAGGACCCATTCATTGGAAGACCATCAAACTGTGGTGCCTCGTTCATGTTCTCTTCTTCTGATAAATATGCATGCTCTATAGTAATCACTGGCCTGCATTTTGCATAATTCTCTATAGTCTCCTTATTTAAGACTAGCAGATCACTACCTGATGTTGTGGCCGGAAACTCGGAGTCGAAACTACAAACACTGCAACATGACAGAGGAACCGCAGAATCCAAAATACCACTAGTTTGTAACACCTGATCTTCTTCATTCATACTCACGTCTTGGTCAGGACACATTTCCTGCTCTTTATCCATGTCAGACTCCATATTTATGTTACTGCTCACATCTGCACTGAATGTAAATGTCTCTGGAATGCTTTCTGCTTGTATTTCTTCTTCTTCCTTTTGGCTCTCTTCTTTCTTGATACCGGGAATGTCCATAACAGCTGCAGGGGATTGATTCAGTTGATCAGCTTCTTCTTTTTGTGTTGGATTGTGAGCACTACACTCAAACTGATCAATAGGAGGTGCTTTCTTCCTTCTTGGAAAGATGCGATAGATCTTTTTAAATGTCAAATCTTTTGGTGCCGTTATCTCCTGAAAAACCATGCCACCGCCTTGCTCTTTACATCCCCTTCCTAGACTGACATTGGATGTGGCTGATCTCTTAGAAATGGGCCACACTGTGAAGAAAACTCTCTTTTTACTTTTTCCATTAGGAACTTCCTTATTGTTTGCATTACTCAATTTATTCTCACACACAGAGTTGCACATGTTGTGTTGAGAATTGTTTTTGTTTTCTGTTCTGTCCGATTCCTTCCTCTTGCCACACCTGAGGAGTGAGGAAAATGTCCTCTTAATGGATGTTTTCGAAGTGCTTCTGGTCATGTCCATTTTACTTTCCATATTTTCATCTTTGCTTTCACTCTCCTCCAGTGTTACAATAATTCCTGCGGTATCTCCTGGAGCATCTGGTTTGGTTTCCCACTCCTCTGAGGCTTTTTGAGGGCTGTGGTGGGTAATAAGTGAGGATTCATTGTCTTTGCCATCACTGTTCTCTTGATCATTATTCTCCACTGTGCCATCACAACATTTCGCTTGTCTTTGCCGCCTCTGTGATTTACCTTCCAATCTCTCCTTTGATTTTGACTTCCCCAGCAAAAGCCTGGGTGGACCTGTGAGTTTTCTCTTCAAGCCCACCTTCTCCTGACAGTCTGGTAATTCAGTCTCTTGTGTGGACATGGTTAATCAAACAGTACTACAGTCAATAATAGTTCTCACTGGCAATATTGGATCAATTACATGAGCGGGTGTTTTCTCCACTTACATATTTGTCTGCTTAAAGATGTGGAAATGCTGCAAACCAACACAAAAACATTGTATTACTGAAGTTAAAGGCTGTATTTCACTTGTGGGTTGAATCATATTCAGTGACTTATTTGTCTTTTTATATATCACGCATTTAAAATGTGTGTCTTTAAGTATATATTTTTATTCAGAGACGACACACTGCAATGTTTACAGCACAAACAAACTCACATACTGGGCGTGACACCAAATGCTAAGTCTTTTTATATGAAAACATCCTAAATAATTCAGGCTAACGTTAGGCGTTTTGCTAACCGGTTCTAACAGTAAAAGTTAACTATAAAAATACTATTAATGGCAAATAACAACTTCATCTCTTTAAATTAGAGGCGACATGGATAAATAAAGATGTCACAACTCGACGACTAACGTTACTCCGATTAAAAACGTATTTTTGTTTGTGGCGTTTGTGACAAATGTATCAAACGGTCATTACTTTTGCATCTTAATCTTTATGATGATGACAAATATAGGCTACCTCATGCGAAGAACAACAACATCTAACTTAGATTTAAAAAGTGGTACAACAACGTACTCCTCAATGTTCAGTTAAAACACCTACCTGTAAAGTGAAGAGCACGACTTAAACTTGTCACTGTTGTGGCGTTTATAAATCCCCTCGCAGAGTCTGCAGATCTGCCGCGCGCAGAGACTTGCGCTGACACTCAGCACAGCAGGTTACACGCCTATCGGTTTCCATAACGACCAGCTGATTAACGCTTTATGTGAGCGTGCCCGTCATCCATCCAATCAACACGGCGGAGGCTCGGCTAATGTGAAGATTAATATCCATCATTCCGACCACATACACAATTTCCTGAAACAATTACTATTTTGCCATTTTTGTCCACACTTAAACGTCGAAAATACACTAAACTCAATTTATTCAACTACTTTTGGCCCTTGAAACTCTTTTCACACTCTCATTAGTTTAATTTATCTATTGTTTTAACACTTTTGAATATCTGATAAAATGACAACTTCATTGGAAATGATAAATTATTTGTTTTATTAATGTGATAATTGCCTTGTTTTTTTCACACATCCAATGTCTTTATTTCATCTGATCAATTTTGTCTCCTTGGTAATAAGTAGCCTACCAAGATTTGATTTACTTATTTTATGGGCAACATTGTTGGTCTTGATTAGATGAGATGATTTTAAAACTGAGGGACAGTTTTAAATCTGTCTCTCTCTGATTTATACATGCTTTATGTTTAAACTCAATTTGTAGGTTAATAATGACCTTGGCTCACCTTGGACTATATACACTGATAAAATAGGCAATATTCACTTTATCAGTTCAGTGACCCTCAAATGATCACGAATAAAAATCTTTAATCTGGCATTTAAATGAAACGTCCATGTTGAGCAGATGGCACACATAAATTAATTGTCATTTGGAAGCACGCTTGATGTTTGCAATAGACATATGTGCAAATATGACCTGTTATCTCATTTTCACAGGGTCTTCTTTATAGTTATGTCTGTAGCAGACATTTTATTTTAATCATTCAGGCATGTTTTAAACTTTGTTCAGAAGAGGGATTGCCTCTTTTATTCAGGACAACACAGTGCTGATTACATATAATCTGGATTAAGTAATCAGATCCCTTTGTATTTTAATATTGATATTGTCCAATACTATCCTAATTCAATTCAATGTGGTAAACCAGTTAGGTCAAAAATAATCAAAAAGTAGTCAGATTATATTACCTAAAAATGTGTAATGTAATGGATTACATTACTAACTACAATTTTTGTCATGTAATTTGGAATCAGTAACAAACTACAATTTGTAAGTAATCTACCCAGCGCACTGCCGTTCAAATGTTTGGGGTCAGTAAGATTTTTTTGGACAGAAATTAATACTTATTTTCAGAAAGGATGAATTCAATTAATCAAAAGTGACAGTAAAACCATTGAAAATGTAACAAAAGCTTTCTATTTCAAATAAATGCTTTTCCTTTTAACGTTTTATTTTTCAAAGAATCAAATAAATCACAGTTTCCACAAAAATATTAAGCAGCAGAACTGTTCTCAACATCGATAATTTCTTGATAATAATAAACTATACAATAATAGTTTCTTGAGCCCCAAATCAGCATATTGGAATGATTTCTGAAGGATCATGTGACACTGAAGACTGCACTAATGAGCTTTACCATCTCAGGAATAAATTACATTATAAAATAGATAGATATTTCACAATATTACAGTTTTTACTGTATTTTGTTATCAAATAAATGCAGCCTTGGTGAGAATAAGAGACTTTTTCAAAAATATTTTAAAGTATCATACCAACCTCAAACTTTTGAACGGTACAGTATGGTTTCATCCAATAAGATAACTGGAGACATATGTGATCCTTGACTACTGGACAGCAGAAATGGCTGCTGGGTAACATGGGTATTGAAGAAAAGGCTAAAAATAAACTGGACTAACAAGCTGGACAAATATACAATATATATATATAGTTTACAATCAGGCTGTCAGCTTAGTATAGCAACTGGAAACTTCATTAAAGGCCAAGCCAAGACTTTATTTAAGTCATATAAGATAACAATGTGTAGACATGGAAGCTATCTCATAAAATCAATGACTTTCAATAATACTGGCAAACTGCAGCGTAAATGTGCTAAGAAAAATACTGACAGACAATTGGTTCTGTGCTGCTAAAGCTCAGTCATGGCTAAAAATATCTTATGGTTCAAGGAGCCCAGTGTAATAACTGTGAAATCTGGAGTGAATTAAAATACTGTACACAGCAACATCATTTGTCAGTTTACAAATAATATAGTGACAACGATATTGATAAATAGCTGGGTTGTTGTTGTTTTTTTACATAGGATGTTTTATAGCAAATTACAGCAAAACATGACAATGGTCTATATTTTGACCATTTGGTGCTCGAATTTGATGCAATGATTTGAATGTCTTTGTAAGTTTTAAAAATCATTTAGCCATGTTAAAAAGAAAAGTGTCTCTTTCCAGTTATTAAAAGTTTGATTGACCATTAATTAAACCAATTTCAGCTTTCCCACCTTAGCAAGTAACCATTGAGCTACTTGCTGTCATGGTAAAGGTTGTTGCCATGGAAACAGGGCCACATTGGATCATCCATTTCTGTATTTGTCTGTTGGAGAGTTTGAAGAAATTAGTCAATCTGGTGTTATCATGAAGGAGACTATCTTAATAACACACCCCATTATGTTTTGTTTTCCAGAGACGAAAAAAAATAAAAAAAAGCTAGCTCAAGCAATGAACAGAAAAAAATTAAACCTGTCCGACAAGCTAAAGAAAACCATCCTGAGCCAAGTTAACCAAAAATGGATACGGATATGACTGCTACCCTGAAGAGCAGTTCAACAAATTGACTTGCATTTGTAATCTGTAATGAACATAAACGTTGGATAAGGTCACTTGGACCACCAGTGGAACAGCTCATGTTCAGCACAGCATGCAGCCTAGCAACGTGTCTGGATAAAAATATCCACAACAAGTGTGACCAAATATTCTCTCTTTCTTTTCTGCAATGTAGACTCACCCGATGAGCGACTGACTAAAGGGGACAGAAATTAGTCAATGACATCATCTGACTAGAGGTTAACCACCCTAGTGTTCATGTAATCTCATCATTTAATCTTCCATTAGTATGTTCAGCCAGTTATCATAAACACGGTTGACAACAACAATCACTTTATTGTTGTGTTTTTTTCCTTCTATTCTTCAGGCATGGGAAGATAGTTTAATGTGACTGGGCTCATTTGATGTAGTGTTTTAATGTACACCACCAAGGTGTGAGAAATATAGCCTTTACATACATTACCATTCAAAAGTTGGGGATTGTTAAGATTTTTTACTCCAGTCTTCAGTGTCACATTTGGTGCTCAAGAAACATTTCTTATTATCAATGTTGAAAACATTTGTACTACTTACAGTAATTACTACAACTTAAATTTTAGGAAACTGATATATTTTACAGGATTCTTTGATGAATAGAAAGTTCAAAAATATATATTTTTTGTAACATTAGAATTTATGATTGTCTTTACTGTCACTTTTGAGCAATGTAATGTGTCCTTGCTGAATAAGAGTATTAATTTCTTTAAAAAAAAAAAAAACCTTGCTGACGCCAACCTTTTGAACGGTGGTGTATATATATAATATTGCTGCGGATAGATAAAGTACTATAAATCTCACCGAGTTTGTCAGACAAGAGAGGAAACCTGCGCCAGCATTGGCCTTGATATCGGTTATGGGCAGCATGAAGTTGGTGGGTTCTTCCTTCATCATGGGGTCATTACTCAAGGACAGGTGTGTTTTGGCTATGCAAACAGGCAAATTCCCAAAGCCCTTTAAGAGAGATTAAAGAGAGAAGTCGAATAAGAGAGAATGTTACACTCCCTCAGATAGACAGGGATACATGCATTAAATACTGTAGTGCAAGTTTAGAGCTTCTGGAAGCAGAATGAGTATGTGTTAAAGAACACATTGACATTTCCCAGAAGTCCAATAATTTTCCAAAATAACAAGAACCCCCCTTCTTTTTATACACACAAAATACAACACACACATATTCACAACAGTCAAACCTATCTCTTCAACAATCTGGTACACAACATTTTCCACTTAAAGTATCCACAATATGTCATACCATATGTTTATAAACCTCTCATTAACTTTCAACAGCTGCTTCCACTAATTTTAACCAACTCACATTAATTAACCAACAGTGTTAGTATTTGTGTCATAGTATATATTGCATTTGATGGAGAACTTCTCATTAATCCAGTTCGTTCTATAATGAAGCAAATATCTTAGAAATTTATGTGAATCACTGCATGTATATGTAATTAAACAAACTTTTTTTGCTCTGAAAAATGTGAGATCTAGGCAATGAAATGGGGAAAACGTGCAAGGTCTCGAGACACGTTTTTTTTTTTAAGTTGAACTGATTTTAACTTGAGCGCCGCGTTTTTAGAACACCGTGTCATGCGAAAGAGACGCTGCAAAAGATGCAAGAGGCGAAATGCAACGGTTATACACAACCGTCTAGCACGTTTACACAGGGAAAAAATGGAAAAGTATCGCATTGGAATGGAAAAATGCGTTCTGTGTGAACTCTATTGTGTAAAGGAAGCTCACCTGTTTTGTATAAAGTGCAAGCTTTTCCTTTGCTTTTGGAGAGAGCTCGATATCTTTCGCACCGTACATCTTTTGTGCCACAATCCTTAACTTATCAGCAGCTGGAATCTGGAGGAAAAAAACAACATTTATTTGTGCTTATGGAATCTTTCTGTACTTAAAGGAGAACTCCGGTCAATTTTAACATTGAGCTCATTTTTTTGTACATTTGGAGTGCTGTCAGTACAGACAGTAGTCGATTGTCGAGTTCGCGCGCGCGATCATTAGTTATATAGTTACAAATGATCGCGCGCGCGAACTCGACAATCGACTACTGTGGACTTCGAACGAAAACAGGAAGTAAATACAGGTATGTGAGCTGGCTAAATTAACATCATTTTTATTAATATCTTGCACATCTGCTGCAGTCAGATTGACCGTGGTCACTCTTAATAACACCACTCACATGGCTGTGCACTTGTAATGACACATTAAGGTTGTTAAGAGGCTAAAAGCAGGTTTAGAACTTGCCCCATTGAAGTCAACAGGGTGCGAATTTTAAAAAGAGGATAACACGGTGTAGGCAACACCGATTTTTGTCGTTTTTGTCTGTACTGACAGGACTCCAAATGTACAAAAAAATGAGCTCAATGTTAAAATTGACCGGAGTTCTCCTTTAATACACACAGGCGTCTTCCTAGCCTAAATTGGTATAATGTGTGATGAACAGTTTTTATACTGGTTATATTTAGACCTTCAATTAAAAAGATTTCATGCATGATAAAGTAATTGGCTGGTAATGAAACAGCTCTATATATAAAGTGTTAATTGATCTCAGAATATGTGTGGGAAAGAACAGCACAAGGACCTTAGGTAATGAAAAAAAAAAAAAAAAATCCTGAGTACTGTATACTTGTATAAGGCATTTAATGATGCCGCTAACAGATATCATTTCAGTGGTAACATTAGTGTATGATCCCTTGTGAGATTTAAACCTTGGTTACCTTATTTGTATTTTATGTTCTTTTTTTGTAAGTCACTTTGGATAAAAGTGCCTTCTAAATGCATAAATGTAAATGTATCTGAGCAGATTTTACCCACTCTGCCACTTCTTACCTGCGAGTCGTACAGAAACCTAAACCGTCCAGGTAGATCTGCTGCTCTCTGAACAGCTTCGGCCAGAGCCAACGCTCCAGCGCCCCCCTTAGACCAGTTAGTGCACTTCACTGCATCGAAGGCACCAGCCTGCCTCGCCTGGCCACACACCAGCTCCAGCTCAGCGTCAGTGTCAGAGCTGCGCCAAATACAATCAGAGCCCATATTCACACACATTCACTCAGAGTGGGAGGGCTGTGTGTGGTTCAGATTGGCTTGTGAGCATACGATTAGTGTACAATGGATAAAAAAACTGAGAGACTATCTGAATATAATTAGTGATATTAGCGATAAAATTATACATATTTATAATTTTTGTTGGCTGCTTGATGTCGTACCTGAATTTGTTGACAGCTACGATCACTGGCAAACCAAAAGCTTGTGCATTTTCCACCTGTCTCCTCAAGTGACGACAGCCTCTCTCCAGCTGCTTGAGGTTCTGCATTGGAGAAAACACCTCAAGTCATGTGGTATATAAACTCATCTACTCATAGGCATGCATGTAATTAGAATGATGTGCCCCTAATTTTCTTGCAGTAATACGGCTTCCACCTGACTGATGATCATCAAAATTTAGAACTGAACATTAAATGGTTGTCAGTAAATTATAGGTTATAAACATATTTAAAATATTAAGAGATTAAAAATATGCCAAAAAGTGGCAGCTGAAAGATTGCACTACCTCCTGTGAATACTCTTTTGGAAGGGGCAAACCTGCTTGAAGCTATAAGCAAGAAAGAATAGAAGCATAAAGACAATGTAAGCTATTGCCTCTGTCACAAGCACAAGATTGATCATTTAATAAACAGTTGATGTGTCATTTGTTCAATTGAACCCGTAACGGAAATCTATCTATAGATTTGTGGATCTGACTCACAGGGGGGGCGCCGCCATGCATCTTCAAGGTACGAACAGTGGCCACCATCACTACCACATCAGGCTGCAGGCCAGAGTAGCGGCATTTAATGTTGAAGAACTTCTCCAAGCCAATGTTAGCCCCATGACCAGACTCAGTAACTGAAAAGAGAGGAAAGTAGCTTCAGATTAGCCAGAGTTTGAATATTGTGGCAGTTTTATTTGTGTTTGCCATTTATTTTCCAGAAACCTAGACCATGTGAATTATTGTACATTAACGTTGAAAGACGTCTCTTATCCTCACTAAGGCTGCATTTATAGGATGATAAATTCAGTAAAAACAGTGATACTGTGAAATATGATTACAATTTAAAATAATTGTTTTCTAATATATAAAAATATATTAAATGATATTTTAAAATGTAATTTATTCTGGTGATGGCAAAGCTGAATTTTGAAGCCATTATTCCAGTCTTCAGTGTCACATGATCCTTCAGAATTCAGTCTTATATGAGGACTTGGTGCTCAAGAAACATTATTATTGTTATCAATGTTGAAAACAGTTGTGCTCCTTAGGATTTTTGTGGAAAACAAACGTGAAGGATTCTGTTGAATAGAAAATTGAACAGCATTTAAATATAAATCCTTACTTTGAACATTAAAAATGTCTTTTTTGATCAATTGAATTCGTCCTTATTGAAAAAAAGTATTAATTTCTTTAAAAAACCTATACTAACCCAAACTTTTGAATGGTAGTGTATTTGTGCAGTATTTTTTCTAACATGAGTGCACAGCATTTAAAAAGAATGAAAGAATGATAAAAAAAAATTCATAAAAAAATATAAAGTGTAATTCTTCTTCACCTACAAATCCTTTGGATCCGACCATTTTTAAAGCCATTTTGTCTGCCAGAATGGAAGGACTGCCTTGGGCAATGTCAACTAATGGGCTGGTGTGAAGAAACACCGGTGTACCCTAGAGAGAAAGATGTGCTGAGACAGAATCTGACAGAGCTGAAATAAATAAGAATGATTCTGTGCAGTGATTCTAAAATATTTATTCTGAAAAATGACAATGACATTGTTATCGGTCATGCAACATTTTTCGCTATTAAATCTTACCTCTACAGTTTGCATCAAGACAGGTTTAAGGGCATCTTTCAATAGCATGGCCAATGGGCCACTGACATTCTGTGATGACAAAGTTGTGTGCATTAGATCACACGCATAATACAGACACACAAACACATGAACACATACTGACTAAATCCTCTGTGGTGACAGGATATCCAGATTTGTTTGTAGCCACTACTATCTTGGCCAGCCTCTGCTGCATCTCCTCTTCACTGCTGCTGAGTGACAGTATAGCCATGATCTCGTTTTCCAAAGAGTCAGAATCCTGAACAGCACAGATACTTAAAGTAAACAAATCACCCTCCCAAAAAAAATGCATGTGTACAAAAATACACTGTATATATATATACACAAAACATAATACAATGTGAATTACATTATCAAGAAGGGCACTAGGTCAAATGTAGAGACAAAATTACATTGTGATATTGATACATACTGCTGTAGTTTCTGGGTCAATGTCCAATCGGACAAAACGTCTTATCTCGGTCCCTGTGAAGGTCAAGGGGTCAGATTTCTCAATGCCCAGTTTCTACAGGTCATAAAGGACACAGTGACCATGTCATCATACTTTTGCAGTGGTTTTGAAATTAATATTTGACTCTAGACTGTGTTTTCTATAGCCGCGTTTCCACCGCAATTGCCCGGAACAATTTGTCCCAGGAACTTTTTTCCCAGGAACTTTTTTTGCCCCAGACCGGTAGCTTTCTGCGTTTACATCGCGGTCTAAAGTACCGGGTAAACTGCGCGCGACTGCTCATTGCTTGCTTGTGACGGACAGTAGACTGTAAAAGACAGTAATCAGTTTTGAGCGCCACATTTATAATAAATATGGAAGAGATTCACACTGTGCTGCAGTTGTTTGAGATGTATTGGTTTACTAACCAGGTAATTAACAAAACGGCAGAAAAGAGACGAGCACTGATACTAAAGCGTGTTCAGAAAGCTCGTAATGCTAACGTTAGATCTAAAATTAGACAGCGTATGTTATCAGCTATTGCGGACATTGACCGTGAGAAGGCTGGGACGAACGCGCAGAAAATTTCTCTTCCGCAAATACGCTTAATAAAGCCTGAATCTCGTCGTCGGTCCAGCTGCCTTTTTTATTTTTATTAAATTCCATATTTGCAGACAGACAACTCTTACTGCATGGAACTTCATTACTGCATGAAGCCACGAACTGCAATAGATTCTAAAAATTCCGGTTAAAATAAAATGCTGCGCGGAGTTATCCAATCATAATGCGGCGTGAACACAACCAATCAGCATGTTCAGCGCACAAGCCCCACCCGCGAAAGTTCCTGAACTTTGAAAAAGTACTACCTCGCGAGCAGGGACTTTCGGAGGGGGAAATATCTACCCGGAACTTCATTTAGACCCTGGTTCCTGCGGTGTAAACACACCGAGTACCAGGCCAAAGTTCCTAGTTCCTGGGTAAAGTTCCTGCGGTGGAAACGCGGCTTATGACTTACCTTCAGCCGGCTAAGCTGGGCTGGGGAGACAGATCTTTGGCCCTCTTTGAGAGGAACCAATAAGTCAAACAAAGCCTGTAAGATACAAGCATATGAGATCATACCAAATACAAGCCATTCAAACACATGAGTATAACCGCACACACATATCAAACACAAACCTGACCTTATCAGAAAGCTTGGTCTCATAGTGAGCATGTGCTTTAATAGTGTCCATCACAACTCTACTGGCAGCAGAGATGAGCTCATTCTGGCCTGAAGGCTGAAGGCTGGCCTGGGATCAACGTGTTAGCATATTTAATCAAATAGAACTTGAATATCTTCTATTGAATCTGTGCTACAAGAGGAACTCAAACATACCTCCTCCAATGGGATAATCTGAGAGTATCCACCTCCAACAGCAACCCCTGTAAACAAAAAGCAACCAACAAATCTTTTGAGCCACTTAAGCTATAAAAGCCTGTTTTTTTTTGTCTCAGAGTCTAAATTAAAATGGGTAATTGTGAGTTCCGTAAACTAAAATAAGAAGTAAGCCACACTGTGAGACATTAAGTTGCATGGCAAGAAATTATGAGAAATATAAGTTTACAAATGTTTGTAATCAATTTGCAATTGTGAGATATTAAGGGATATTGGTGACTTTTAATGTCATAATTATAACTTTTAGTTTTATTTAGTCAATTTCGATTTGAGTTTAGTTGACTTTATATTTCATACTTTCAACTTTGTATGACTTATTAGCGTTTGTCATAATTCTAACGTTTTATCTCAATTTAATTTATGACATAAGTCAAAATTATTAGATAAGTAATAACATAAAAATTCAAAATGGTGTACTGTAATTATCATAATTATAAATTTATTTCATAATTTCAACTTTTTGTTATTATTCACATCATTCACATCTTCTTTTTTTATCTCAAAATTACGATTTACCAAAGCATGATTTTTTTTCTTATGTTGTGGAAATGAGCTTCTACAGTAGTTATCTTGGAAACTTGAGAAAAAAAACAAATGTTTGTCTCTCACCCCTAGCACCAAAACAGGATCCTGGGGAAGGCTCTTGCACACAAGCAAAAGCGTTGATATTCAGGAGAGCCCCGAATGCCTGAGCCAGTCCGAGAGCGGTGGTGCGCTTTCCCTCGCCCAATGGAGTAGAAGTAATTCTGGTCACAGTAACACAGAATGGATTGACTTTGAAAGCAATGCATTTAGTTTGTTTGGCGAATTGCTCAGAGACAGAGCTTAAGCTGGATGTGAATGCATTGTGTGACCCAGGCTTAATGGAGTGTTGCAAGATCCCATTTGGTGCTTGTGGAAAGTTACTACCCTATAAGATTATGCTAATGTACATAATTATATTTCAAGATGCATCTTACCCAGTGACAACCACATATTTCCCATCAGGCTGTTTCTTCATGCGTTTCAGAACATCCAGTCGTATCTTAGCCCTACTTCTGCTATATGGCTCCACTTCTTCGGAAAACAGGCCCACCTCTCTTGCAAGCTGACCGACTGGTTTGCTTTGGCATGAATGTGAGATTGCAGCATCACTAGGAAAAGCAATTGGCATCACATGGGTCAGCAAGTCATGATGAACTTCACAGAATATGCTTAAATTAAATAATCTTTATAATAGCAAGCAAGCCCGACAGTACCTGGGCTGAGGCTCTTGGGGTTTCTTCTTTGTGAACACTATGTTCCACTTCCCTGGAGTGTATGTCTGCAGAAACCGCTTTGCACTTTCAACTGTATTCTGATCCAAATCCAAATGAGAATAACAAACATTTGTAAAAGCAAATAATATCAGTTGTCGGCCAATATTATATTTTAAAAAAATATATATTTCCATTAGTCAATATTTAACTCAGCAAGCTCACTTCCCCATATTTTTAAATGTAGATGATATTTTGTCATCAAATGCTTACTTAAACCTCCACTTTAAACATTTAATATTTAGCCAATCTCAAAATGTACATCCATTTTCATACTTTACACTACCGTTCAAAAGTTTGGGGTCATTAAGATTTAATGTTTTTGGAAGAAGCCTCTCAAGCAGTCATTACTCCTGTCTTCAGTGTCACATGACCCACAGAAATCCTTCTAAAATGCTGATTTGGTGCTCAAAAACATTTCTGATTATCATCGATGTTTAAAACAGATGTATTGCTTAATTTTTTTTTATTTAAATGGAAACATTTTTATTTTCAGGATTCTTTAATGAATAGAATGTTCAAAATAACAGCATTTATTTTAAATAGAAATCTTTTGTAACATTATAAATGTCTATACTGACACTTTTGATCTATTTAATGCTGCAAACATTTTGAACAGTAGTAGTAGTGTATTTTATAATGTTGTGATTCCCTTGGTTTTAATTTTTAGTCAATGGTTTTAATTTTTTTATTCATTAATTAGAATTTCAATATCAGCCATAAAATAAAAAATAATAATAAGCTTATTTCTACTGGCCAGAATTTTAATAATGACCCATCTCTAATACAGTATCTACGGAGCCCCTAAAGGAACATGGTGAAGAAGAAAAATATGAGATGGCAGGCAACGGTTTTGCGTTCTCTCGCAAATTTTCTGCGTTCCCTGAGAAACTTTGCGTTTGCTCGCAAAGAACAAAAAAAGTTTTGCGAGTGAACACAATTTTTTGCGAGGGAATGTAAAGGTTTTGCAAGCTAACGCAAAGTTTCTGGGGGAAAGCAAAACATTTCCAAGAGAACGCCAAACCAGTGACTTATTATTTTTCTTCCCATCTCATATTTTTTTCCACCACCATGTCCCCTTAGGGGCTCCAGAAGCATCAACTATGACCGTTATAAACTTTTAATTTGTGACAAAGGTCAGTCAGGAGAGTTAGTACATTAACATTGGAGGATTTGAACTTGAAAAACGGAGTGAATCGACTGCTGACTGACTGACGTCTTTCCGCGGTTAAAACAACATTCCCCATGTTTATTTGCTTCTATAAATTAACTAGAAGGAAGAGATGATCGGTTCACGAGCAGCTTTAACTGAGGCTCTACAGCGATCTGTCAGACACATTAAAGAGCCACAAAATGGTATTTATTGTTTAAATTTCTTTAAAAAATTGCCACATTTGAAAGTTGAGACTGTTTCATATCAAAAGTAACCTGGTCTGTCCTGTCTGTCAATGCGTTGTCAGTGTCCTCTTTGCTCCGTGATGTATTTTTCACTGCGTGACAACATGATGGGGCGTGAGAGCAGCGTAGCTTGTCGGACATAGCAACAGTAACTAAAGGGGGCGGGTCTTTGCGAACGATCAATTGCTGTTCACTTTACAAACAAGTCAATTAGAGTCATTTGCTCCTGAAATGATACCTTCATCAGCATAGCTACAGTCATGGGTCCGACTCCACCAGGCACTGGGGTGATGTATCCAGCTCGCTCTTTAGCTGAGGAGTAATGTACATCCCCCACCACTCGTTTCCCACTGGCTTTACTGCGGTCTGTGTGTGAGTTAAATGTAAACACGTGAGCTAAAACCAGTAGCTATTTAATATTCCGTAACTGCTTTAGACAAGCAGATACAGTCAAGCAGAGAGACCTGGTATATGACTGATACCACAGTCTATGACCACCGCCCCCTCCTTCACCCACTCTCCTTTCACCATCTCAGCTCTGCCAGCACCCACAACCAAGATATCTGCTCTTCCCACCTAAAAAAAAACAAGACACTGAAAGTTACTCCATTCACTCCAGCACTCCATTCATTACACCAAACTGCACAAGGTCTGTACTCAACAACAAAAAAGCAAACGATAAATACATCTCACTATGTCATGAGCTCTTCTTTGTTGTAGAATCTAGATGAAGAAAGTCTCAGGTTACGCATGTAACCATGGTTCCCTGAGAAGGGGAAGAAGACACTGCATCCTCTAGAGGACACTTTGGGGAATGCCTCTGGCGTGACTGGTGTCTGAAGTATCTTGGTATCTTGGACTCTCTATGGTGGACGGCACTGATCCTCAACAACTCGTCTTAATACCGGCGTGATTACTTGGACTTCCAAAAGATGGAAATGGACAAATACTCTAAATGTTCCGATTCCAATCTGACTTGTAATGCTGCCCGAATCATGCACTGTTCCTTCGTTGGTCAGAGGAGAACTGGCCCCCCGACTGAGTCTGGTTTCTCCCAAGGTTTTTTTTTTCTCCATTCTGTCACCTGATGGAGTTTTGGTTCCTTGCCACTGTTGCCTTGGCTTTTGGCTTGCTTAGTTGGGGACATTTAATATTCAATAATATTATTGATCTGCCTTACTTAGGTGGACGTTGACGCAATTTTCTTTTAGAAACAAACTTTGTTATATTGTTATATTGTTTTTGTTATATTGTTTTCATGTTATCACTGTGAAGCGCTTTGATACAATCTGTATTGTAAAAAGCGCTATATAAATAAAGGTGAATTGAATTGAATTGAAGCATGCGTTTAAACGGGACAATGTCATTGGCCGGCAACAGTCTGTGATGTCACAACTGGTATAACCGTGAGTATATAAGGGCCCCTGTAATAGACATCATCTTCTTTGTCTTGAGGAGACGTAGACAGGCTGGCCCGACGCATGGCAGAGAGACGCAGTGTCTCATTTCCCTTCTCAGGGAACCATGGTTACATTTTTAACCTAAGAAGTTCCCTTTCGAATGGGAACTCATCCTCTAGAGGACACTTTGGGGAACCAATGTCCACTCCGCCATGCTGAGGGTATGACTGCCTAATTGACTGTGACAAGCACAAGCAAGGACTCAACAGACTTAGATGCCAGAGTCAGATTCCCTCACTCAGGTTCTCGGAACTGTCAATGACACAATTCCGTATGGCCACCACCCAAGCTCCAAGCCCTAAAACGAGCAGAGCTCAAGGTCTGGTAATGTCAGCCTGAATGCCAGACATCGGGCCCTATCATACGCCAAATAGCCAGAGAAACAGAGCTCCTGCGGGAGCAGAGGAGACATCACTGCTGCGGCAGTGGAGAAACTTACCTGGAGAAAAAAGAGCTCCTGCGGGAGCAGAGGAGACATCACTGCTGCGGCAGTGGAGAAAATAGCCAGAGAAACAGAGCTCCTGCGGGAGCAGAGACATCACTGCTGCGGCAGTGGAGAAAATAGCCAGAGAAACAGAGCTCCTGCGGGAGCAGATGCTATTTTCATGGCAAAAATTCAATCACAAAAATACAAATATCATATAAATACAATAAAAACAAAGCAAATATAAACAAGTCATATTATATGAGGGTATGACTGCCTAATTGACTGTGACAAGCACAAGCAAGGACTCAACAGACTTAGATGCCAGAGTCAGATTCCCTCACTCAGGTTCTCGGAACTGTCAATGACACAATTCCGTATGGCCACCACCCAAGCTCCAAGCCCTAAAACGAGCAGAGCTCAAGGTCTGGTAATGTCAGCCTGAATGCCAGACATCGGGCCCTATCATACGCCAGGCGTCGCAAGTGTTTTTTGCTAGTTTCAACCCGACGCCATTATCATTTTCACATCCTGTGCCACATTGTTTAAATAGCAAATGCATTAGCACCCATTTGTGCGCCCATGGGCGTGCTGGTCTGAAAGCGAGGTGTGTTCGGACGCATTGTTGGCGTGTTGCTATTTTGAGGCAACTGAAATAGACTGTGCCATTGACCAACTGAAACCTGGTCTAAAGTAAAAAACAAATTGTTATTTAAAGAGCGCGTTAGTAATATGCACCTATAGGCGGGTCCAAGCTTTAACCTCGCGCACGAGCTGATCCGTTTCCTCGCTAGAGAAGCGTTCAGTTTTTCCGCTTGCAAATTCCGCCATGTAAATAGGAAATCCACAATGGCGCGAGCACAACTGGCTTTTAAAGGCAATGGGAGATGAGACTCTGATTGGTTTTTGATTGATTTTTGATTTCTGTGGCGAGCAGGACGAGGTCTATGGCCGTGGGAGAACGGTGCGAGGCCGGTGGCGTGATTGATAATGAGCGACACACCGGTCTCGTATCTCTCACGGAGGAGCGACGACAGTGAAGATCGAGAGAGGAACAGGCCTGATTTTGTGTTTGTTTTGTGTAGCCAGCAGTCGTCCGCGAGGGGTTGCTGGCTTATACTTTAATTTTTGTATTTATTTCTTTATTAAACTTGTTGAATGTTCGCCGGTTCCCGTCTCCAACTGAACCTCGTTAAACTTACTCTAAGAGTATAGGAACAACTCTTTAAGACCATGCGCCGGGCGCGCCGACCATTTTTCCCATCGTTAAACTAGCAAAAGTGGATTCGGACACGCCCATGCGCTTAGATCGTTAAAATAGGGCCCTTAAGGGAAAACTGACACAGGAAAACTGTAGTTTCCTTTCCTGTCATTAGGGGAGCTGTCTACTTAATCAGGGGGAGGCAGCTTCAACCTTAGATTTGACTCATGAAGGGGCCGCCTGCTTTTAAACCCTACCTGTTGGGAGGCAGCCGTGCTTCATGAAACATAAGGAAGCTGCCTACTTAGAAACCCGCCATTAGAGGGGGAGGCATGCCTTGAATATATATAGGGGGATCTGGTTCAACCTCTAAACACCACAGGGGAGCATTTTAGTAGAAAAATGTTCCACCCCGTCCGACCAAGAGTCAGCATCTTGCAAAGCCAGCACTCCAAATGATGGGTGCTCAACCAGTGAGAAGGGATGCAAAACTCAGGCAATAACCACTTCTTACCATGGCCCAGAGATGGGTTCTCTGGGGAGCTGAGGACTCATCAGAAAGACCCTCTGAATCACAAGCTCAACCAGTGATCCCCACGATCTGAGTCTCTGCTGGGCCTCGGCTGCAGCAGGTCCCGAACTGCGGGGTGTAGACGCCTGTCCTTATTCCCTCAAAAAAGGGTATAGATGTGAACGGAGCTTCTTCATATAAAAGCCCTAGCAATCAGCGCATTCTGCACCCTCGAGAACAGAACGCGCATGATCCTCTCCAAAACAAATGACGCACAAGTCATGTGTATCGTCTGGTGTCAGATAACACTGATATGGTGGCACACACTTCCTGAAATGCTTGTCAGAGCATGCATCCATTGTAGCCAAATGACGCTTTCAAAACAAAAGTGTATTCACGAGTTCACACTTACATCAATTAAACAGAGTAAAGATTATGCGTATTTGGCGTGCTGTCCGGGGGGAGGGCTCCGAGCTCGGAATTTTTCCCGAACCCAGAGTACTCCCCCCGTTGTTGTAAGAGTATTAGGACTGTAAGTGAGGAGATGGGGTGGTGGAGGGATGCTGTTAAACTGTCAATGAACGGAGGTAAGTTTGCTGTATATATACACAGCGCTTAACTCGTTGATTAAGCACCACTCGTGTCTAATTAGGTTTGATTATCTGAATGTGCTCCACGTGTGTTTAATTAGGTTTAATTATCTGAACGTGCTCCTCCCGAACTTTGTTAATAAAACATCATTTCACGAGTTCACACTTACATCAATTAAACAGAGTAAAGATTATGCGTATTTGGCGTGCTGTCCGGGGGGAGGGCTCCGAGCTCGGAATTTTTCCCGAACCCAGAGTACTCCCCCAAAAGGCAAAAAGAGCAAAGGACAGCCGCCAGACTAAAGACCCCCCAAAACGCAGAGAATTTGGCGGGCTGGCGTTTTGAGAATAAGCCTGGTTGCTTGACCAGGAGGGCCTGCTGGCTCACGAACGGGGAGCAGTCGTAATTTGGAACAACAGTTGGGAGGGCTCGCACCGTTTCTCGACGGGAGCAGCTCACAGCGTCAGACAGGCGAGCTCTACCGGCCGATGAACAGCGTGATTTATGCCGCCTGACCAGGAGGGCCCGTGTTGCCTCTGGCGGGAGCAGCTCACTGCGCTGGGCGGACGGGCCCTACTGGTTGACAAGATTTGGGAATGCCCAACCAGGAGGGCCCATGTAGCTTCCGACGGGAGCAGCTCACAGCGTCGGGCTGATGGGCCCTACCGGCTGACGGTGGAGTGGCGCGTTTTTTTTTTTTTTGGAAGCCCGGACTGGAGATTTCTTGCTGTCCGCTGGGAAATCGATACCTGTTGGATGGGAAAGAGAAAACATAGATGCATGCAAAGTCCGCTGGGAGACCAATGCTCGCTGGACAGAGAAAGAGGAAACATAGATGCATGCAATGTCCGCTGGGAGACCAATGCTCGCTGGACAGAATTATGCAATGTCCGCTGGGAGACCAATGCTCGCTGGACAGAATTATGCAATGTCCGCTGGGAGACCAATGCTCGCTGGACAGAAAAGAGGAAACATAGATGCTTGCAATGTCCGCTGGGAGACCAATGCTCGCTGGACAGAGAAAGAGGAAACATAGATGCATGCAACGTCCGCTGGGAGACCAATGTTCGCTGGACGGAGAAAGAGGAAACATAGATGTATGCGACGTCCGCTGGGAGACCAATGCTCGCTGGACAGAGAAAGAGGAAACAGATGCATACGACGTCCGCTGGGAGACCAATGCTCGCTGGACGGAGAAAGAGGAAACATAGATGTATGCAACGTCCGCTGGGAGACCAATGCTCGCTGGACAGAGAAAGAGGCCTCACGTAGGGGTTTTAACAGGAATATTGATTCTGAATAGTGAGGTACTGGAGAGGAGACATCACTGCAGCGGCAGTGGAGAAAATAGCCAGAGAAACAGAGCTCCTGCGGGAGCAGAGGAGACATCACTGCTGCGGCAGTGGAGAAAATAGCCAGAGAAACAGAGCTCCTGCGGGAGCAGAGGAGACATCACTGCTGCGGCAGTGGAGAAAATAGCCAGGGAAACAGAGCTCCTGCGGGAGCAGAGGAGACATCACTGCTGCGGCAGTGGAGAAACTTACCTGGAGAAAAAAGAGCTCCTGCGGGAGCAGAGGAGACATCACTGCTGCGGCAGTGGAGAAAATAGCCAGAGAAACAGAGCTCCTGCGGGAGCAGATGAGACGTCACTGCTGTGGCAGTGGAGAAAATAGCCAGAGAAACAGAGCTCCTGCGGGAGCAGAGGAGACATCACTGCTGCGGCAGTGGAGAAACTTACCTGGAGAAAAAAAGGGGCTCCTGCGGGAGCAGAGGAGACATCACTGCTGCGGCAGTGGAGAAAATAGCCAGAGAAACAGAGCTCCTGCGGGAGCAGAGAAGACATCACTGCTGCGGCAGTGGAGAAAATAGCCAGAGAAACAGAGCTCCTGCGGGAGCAGAGGAGACATCACTGCTGCGGCAGTGGAGAAAATAGCCAGAGAAACAGAGCTCCTGCGGGAGCAGAGGAGACATCACTGCTGCGGCAGTGGAGAAACTTACCTGGAGAAAAAAGAGCTCCTGCGGGAGCAGAGGAGACATCACTGCTGCGGCAGTGGAGAAAATAGCCAGAGAAACAGAGCTCCTGCGGGAGCAGAGACATCACTGCTGCGGCAGTGGAGAAAATAGCCAGAGAAACAGAGCTCCTGCGGGAGCAGATGCTATTTTCATGGCAAAAATTCAATCACAAAAATACAAATATCATATAAATACAATAAAAACAAAGCAAATATAAACAAGTCATATTATATAATATATATATTTAAATTAACATGATAAAAAATCCAAAACCTTTTCAGGCATAATCTCATTAAATATGTCCTTCAATGAAGAAACTTCATAAAAGAGCATTCGCTTGCGTTAAGGCCAGAACAATCTAATAAAACATGTTTGACAGATAAGGGAATTTTACCAAACATACACAAAGTTGGGTCTTCAACTTTAAGCAAAAAGCATGGGTCGAACTTGTGTCCAGAGAAACAGAGCTCCTGCGGGAGCAGAAAACTTACCTGGAGAAATGAGCTCCTGCGGGAGCGGAGAAGACATCACTGCTGCGGCAGTGGAGAAATTTACCTGGACAAATTGAGTTCCTCTGGTGTGAGGCTGAGCAAAGGGAGGAGTAGGTTGGGGCCTGGTGGGCCGATGCTCGTCTTCTTGCGCGTTAATCAAAAACGCGAAGAGGAGGTGAGAGATTAAATCCTTGCAGGATTATGTGCATCTGAAGTTTAAGTGGCCGAGCAAAGATAGCAGTTTGCGTTTTAGAACAGTGGGAAGGTGGACGAGATCAAAAATATCCTATCGATTTTTTCTTGTGCAGTGAGACCTGGAAAACAGCTGTATCCAAGTTAATGCCCAGAATTCAAATGGGCGTGGCTGAACCCATGGTTTTAACCTGTGCAATTGGAATCCCGAGCTCAGCAGAAACTGTGCGGGGCTGAGAGATCGATTATTAAACGTACGAAAATATTCTTATTTTCTCAGTTTATTTCGTTTATTTTGATCATTTCTATGGGTCATATTCCCTGCCGGTTTGTTCGTTCTGAATCAGAAAAACCAATAGTGAAACTGTGGCTTTAAACTAGCCTACCTACTTCAAAAAATAAAAATAAAATAAAAATACATTTATGCTATAACTTTAAGTTTCTAAGCGATTTTTGTAAATAAATTGCAGGACGGTGTTAACGAAAGGTTCTTAATGATTCTGTGTGCAATCTGCACGTAATGTGCGACCTATTGTTTACGTGTGAGTTTACCAAAAGGAAGCATCGCGTTAATGAACGGCAAATCATTTGTACGGAAACTATTTAAAACGCGTGTTCCCCCGATCAAAATTAGTATCCAGATAGCATAACTTGCTCGTGATTCAACAGCTGAAGTGATACGAAGTTCAATTAGGGACAGAAAACGAAAGGTTTTGAGCTGAGCACTCACAGAGTTGACCCGGCAGATGTTGAGTGTGGACTGACCGGGACTGAATCTGCAGCGCGGCTTACTTAGGGCCTGCTGCGGCGGCCTGACGCTGGAGGAAGACCCGTTCCTTCGAATTAAGAGGGCGGCATTGCCTTATGACCATTTCTCTATGGCAGGAATTATTGAATGGGACAGTTTAAAGAAATACGCGGAAGTAGATTGCTGATGTTTCGCCCGCGGTGGCGAGGACCCATTTGTTTGGCCTGACGCCCACGAGATAATACCAGAGGATTGTGGCAAAGATTCCTAATCCTGAAGGACGAAAGATTCTTCATCAAACGGGAAGAGCTCGATTCGGGCATGTTAGGAAGGTACTGCGGGGCCAAATGCTGTTAAACTGTCCATGCTGTTAAACTGTCAATGAACGGAGGTAAGTTTGCTGTATATATACACAGCGCTTAACTCGTTGATTAAGCACCACTCGTGTCTAATTAGGTTTGATTATCTGAATGTGCTCCACGTGTGTTTAATTAGGTTTAATTATCTGAACGTGCTCCTCCCGAACTTTGTTAATAAAACATCATGTGACGTCACGGACTGTTGTCGGCCAATGACATTGTTGCGTTTAAACACTTGCTTCAGACACCAGTCACTCCGGAGATGTTCCACAAAGTGCCCTCTAGAGGACGCAGTGTTCCCATTCGAAAAGGAATTGCTCATATTCAAAACTGTAATGGGAAAAGGGATATAAAAGATAATGAGAGAAGCAGATGAAACCAACATGTTCAGCAAGGTCGAGGGTCTTTGAATGGCAGGTGGTCACTGTGGCGTGGTTCCATAAGAGCAGATCGTGCATTGGAGCTCCAACGATCTTACTGCGGCCGATCACGACAGCATTCTTTCCCATCACACTCACACCTGCACACATGAATCACACTTGCAGAGAGGCAGCATTTTCTGAAAATTCTAAAAGCTTGTATCTTAATGTCCTGCTTTGCTTGAGTCAAATTATAAAGCAGAAACACATGTATGGTTTGTGGAGAAGGCAGAATTCATTGCAATATGTTCAGCTTTAAAAAAAAGACAAGATGGTCGACAAGGTTATAGAAAATAAATATGGGTTGCGAATAAAAGTGTGTACACTACCGTTCAAACGTTTGAGGTCAGTTAGGTTTTTTTCAGCAATTAAGTGACAGTAAAGACATTTATTATGATTTCAATTTCAAATAAATGCTGTTCATTTTCAACTTTCTATTTATCAAAAAATCCTGAAAAAATGTATCATGTTTCCACAAAAATATGAAGCTGCACAACTGTTTTCAACAAGAAATGTTTCTTAAGCAGGACATCAGCATTTTAGAGTGATTTCTGAAGCATCATGTGACACTGAAGACTGGGATAATGGCTGCTGAAAATTCTGTGCCATCACAGGAATAAATTATGTTACAAAATATATTAAAAAAGAAAACGGCTATTTTAATTTGTAATAACATTTCAGGACATTATAGTTTTTACTGTATATTTCATAAAGTAAATGTAGCCTCGTTGAGGATTAGACTCTTCTTTTAAAAACATAAAAAAATTTAACCGACCCTAAACTTTTGAACGGTGGTGTATATTTTATTAAAGGACAAGTTCGGTATTTTACACTTGAAGCCCTGTTTCTAAACTCACACAAAAATCGCTGGAAAAGATGCTTTCCAACAGGTTTTATCGTAGTTTTTGAACAACTCCACTTGACTTGGACAAAATCTACGATAAAACCTGTTGGAAAGCGTCTTTTTCAGCGATTTTTGTGTGAGCAAATCAATGAACACCCCTGACCACTCGGTGAGTTTAACGTCTTTGTAAACTAAAGTTTAATGCGTTTTAGGAAGGATTGTTTCTGTGCACCTATGCAACCATGGTGGAGGTTGGGGGGTGCAACCACAGAAACCGAAATTTCTCGGGACAGCAGCATGTGTCCAAATTTTAATCTTAACTGTTCTATTTAATCAGAAACGATCTTGAAACAGGGCTTCAAGTGTAAAATACCGAACTTGTCCTTTAAAGACTGCAAAACACCAATAAAAAGGAACTGTATGATTAAATATTTTTGTTGTATTTTTAAGCTTATCAATGGAGATGCTGTCCATGTAGACAGTAGATAATAAGGAAGCTCACTAGGTTTTGGATCAGAGCTCCTTTCTGACTCATCTAGATGTGATGCAAAAAAAGATTGTTCTGGATCCTTCGTTCCTTTCCTTAGGGTGACAGCTCATTTCATCACCCAGTCATCAGATGGCATTGCTCTCTGTGTGTGTATATATAGATCTCACACCTATCCAATGACACGGCACACTGATTGTGCTGTAGTATGAAGGCCCCTTAGACAATCGTGCTATGATTCTGACTGAAAGAGCTAGAGCTCTTGGGTAAAGGTTCACAAGATTCCCACCCACCGGTCTGACTGATTAGCTCCATGCAGCCATTAGGAGTGCAAGGGATGAAACAGTTGCCCAGGTCTCCACGAGACAGCTTCCCCGCATTTATACTGGTCAAGCTGGGGAGGAAGACAAATCAAATAATATACAGTTCAATGTTCTGTGGAGGGTTTGTTTTTTAAATATATCATGCATTAAGGAAGTTTTCCTGAAAATTGATATCGAGCAGGCATGAATACTTGCTGCGCAATGCATGAAAAATACACTATTTCACAGTGTGATTTGAGCAACAACAAAAAAGAAGCTACATTTATGATACCATTGTTGTGAGCTTGTATTATTGATTATTTGAACTATATTTTTGAAACATAATCTTGACAAACAGTTATGAAGATTTCTGTCTTACTACAACCCCTTTTCTTCCTCACCAAGGTATTAAAATGATTACCAGCCCTTTTCAGCCCAAAAAGCTCAATATAGCTCAGTTCTCCTGTCAGTAATCACAGTAAACACTGTGAGGAACACATTTTAAATCAGTAACACAACTGATCTATGCTTGAGGCTGATGAAACTATCATGAGGATGTGTAAAGATCCTGCAGCTGGATATTGCTTATTTGTGCAGATTTTAGACTCAGCTGCCCCTCAAACTTTACTCAGAGATAACTCATCTGAAATCAGTAAAAAAAGGGCCAATATTCACAGACATCTACAAAGAGGACATTCGCTCTCTGACTTTGGGTGGAAAAATACAGATAAGAGAGCAAAGTGTTTAAACCTGGAAACTAGAACTAGCAGTCTGTCGGACCCGTATACCTGTCTATTCCAGTTAGTTTAATAATAATAAAATCCACTATTTGCCCCATACTCTTGCTGTGCTCCTCAAACAAACATTTCAAGCATGTCAGTTTGACAGCTGCACCATATCTTTCTTGAAGAAAAAAAAAAGAGACTTACCCATCAACATCTTTCTCTGGGGCCACAGCATTGGTCACTTTCTCTGTGTTTATTGGGCCGATGGAGTCAAGAGGTAGTTGTACGATGAGACCATGAACCGCAGGGTTCTCATTCACTGCAACTATGCTTTGTAGGACCTTAAGAAAATCAGTGGCATCAGCCTTCAAACTTCTTCTCACAAAACAAAGTTTAATTTGCTGTGGGCCACATTTTATTAATAGTTTATAATGCTGTTGATCTATGACCAGAACAAGATGAGATTGAACTGCATGGCTCAAAGTTGATATGAACAGAAGATTTCCCACAGCTCTAATTTTCATTATAATGAATTGTGAGCAATGGCGCATGTATGAAAGGAGAAAGGATAGAAAATGAGATGAGGTGAATCACACATTTGTTATTGTTTGAGGCCTGTTTCTCTTACTTCATCTTCTGTGGCTGTTTCGGGAAGCCTAATGTGGTTTGCATTGATTCCAATCTATGTAAGGGAGAAAGACAGTGTCAGCGAGAGGTTTATGTTAAAAATGATTTCTGTTTATTAAATCAGCTCACTGAACCTCAGCCGCTGCCTTGAGCTTCATGCTGATGTAGAGGTTTGAGTCATCTCTGTCCCCGACCTAGAACAAATCATAGGCTACATGAGGCTACATGAGAGCACAGAGGATAGTAATAATATATATATATATACATATATATATATTTTTACATGTTTACGTCCTGAAAAACAGAATCAGCAAACTCACTGATCTAATATGTCTAATATATCTATGATCTCACACAATACTGGTAAAAATAATGCTGTATTATCTAAGTATTTTAATATTTTTGAGATTTAAAAAAAATAATTCAGATTATGCTTAATATTCTATACTAGTTTCTTATACGAATATATACATATAATGAAAAAACATTCAAATATATTCAAGTATAACTATTTTGCATGTTATTTTTCATTTATTACATTGAATATTTGTGAAATTACTGTATATGAATATTTAAACAAAGATATTTATAATATATATTACATCTTGATACTGAAATGTAAATGCATTTTATTTATTTATTGTTTTAAATTTAGTTATTTGTATGTAATGGTCAAATGCATTTATCAAAACAGACCGTAAATATTTAAAAGAACAACAAAACGACACATAACAAGCAGTGAGGTTACAGTATTATGAATCAAGACATGAGTCACACACCATATCAATGTTATCTTATCCCAAAGACCTTAAACTAACACACCTTTATTTCACGTTGCACACTTTTGCATTTATCAACGCATGACCATAAAGCCATAGAGAGATTATCTATTTTAACAAAACACCCACAACCGTGAGAGAGAAGAAAATGGCACATTACCAAATGACCATCTGGAGTAGAGTGAGAGAAAAAGAAGAAAGATGAGTCAGAATATCAAGAGAGATGAAATTATAAAGCTAGCTATCACCACAAGGTGTATTATATGGACCAAAATAATAAGCAAGATGTCCAGAATGACCTGCAGCACAACCAGGCCAGGCCTGAAGCCAGGGAACTGAGTCTTCATCTCTGCTACCTCCTTCTTCAATCGCTCCTTCACCTGTCTGGACATACAGAGAGGAATGCCATTTGATCTACCTCCAGGGTCTTAAAAGGGGGGATTTTTTCTTTATCAAATTATTGATCAAATAATATAATTTTTAATATTGTTTTATATTTTTAAAATGTCATTTATTTCTGTGAAGGAGCATCATTACTCTAGTCTTCTGTGTCTCATGATCCTTCAGAAATCATTATAATATGCTGATTTGATGCTCAAGAAACATTTCTTATTATTATCAATGACAATGTTGTGATGCTTAATAATGTTGTAGAAACTGTGATAGGCCTACATTTTTTTTCAGGATTTTTTGGTGAATATAAATTTCAAAAGAACAAAATTTATTTGAAATATAATTTTTGTGTAATAATGTTTTATCACATTTCAACAATTTAATGCATCCATGCATTAAATCTAGCAAAATAAATCTTACTGACCCAACGTTTTCGAACGATTGTGTATATATCTATAAATAACAATAAATTAATATATTAATTATTATATTACTTACTAGTAATACCTGCATTTAGTAATTCAATTATTATATTATGAGTGTATGGCCAGGCTTAAAATGCAATGTGTATACATCAATGCATAACAATAAATAAATGTATAAATTATTATATTACTTAATATTAATATATCTATGTAACAATTCAAGTATTATATTATGAGCATATGGCCAGCCTTAAAATGCAATTCAATTTCATATAATATGTAACTTTTCTATATCAAAAAAGGGGGACTTTGACCTGAAAATGATTAAAGACCCCTGATCTACCTGAAGGGCCTCTTAAACACTCAAACTTACTGCGAGGTCTTGTTTCCGGACACAATGGTTGCCATGGTGCATTGGCTGTCCCGGTACCTCAAAGCTCCTCGCCGGAGCACAGAGGCAGTGAGGGCAAACATATCCAGCTGCTACTGAGCAAAACACAGAGGCAAAGTTAGAAGGGAAACACTATAGAGAGAAAACAAGCACCTAAAAATCAAGCTGCTTCGGTATTCTACAGATATCAACACCTGTCCTGTGTGAAAACGGAGCCTGCACACCCGATCTGCGCGCTTCTCCTCTGCTGTCACGGGAAACTGTGCAGTGCGCAGCTCCCAAACCAGAGTGTTATCACTGGGTCCAGCTGCGGCATTCCACACTATTCCAGTATGAGTGGGGAAGTAAGCTGATAAAGGAGCCCTGTCAAGGCTGCAAAGCTTAGACAAGCTCAAACAAACAAACAATCACATGGTGTGCGGAAAAAGCTTGCACAGGGCCAAAGAGCCGAGGTTAAAATACAACTGCTGGGCTGTAAAGGAAGTGGGATGTTTCATAGCAAAGAGCCAGGCAGCCAATCAGGGATCCCTTGAGCTGGGAGAGGAGCATTCTTGGGACTCTGAGCTCTGCTCCCTCCTTCTTTCTTGCCTGCGAAAGAACTGCAGCATGTGATCTCCAAATCAGAGTCCCCCCTTCTCACGTCTCTGTATGCTTCAAAACAGCTGTCAATCATACGGTGCCTGGGAGGAGTCGAGTGCAGAGAAGTCTAAACACTTGGTTTTTGTGTTTACAGTTTGTGCTGCCTGCAAACTCGTACAAGTATTTGTTTGTTTCAAGGCATTTCTGCCACGATGCTGAAAATGATATAGATGAGGTGTGTCTTAAACTTTCACTTAGTAAGTTTGAAGTGCTACAGATTTCAAGTGTAGCCTAGTCTTTAAAAAAATGCATTTATGGCACAAGCAAAGAAAAAATAAATTGATTTAAAACATATGCATATGATATTACATATGTCACATACGTTGTTCGATTAAAGAAAATGTTGACAACAGAAACTTGAGAACATCATGACACGTTTATTGGTTGGTTGTTGTTAACTTTAGCGCCTACTGGTGAGAAACTGTTGCATAACAACTTTGAGACGCTTGCTCTGTAGACTCAATCCTTTTTTTTTTTTTTTGATTTTTTTTTTTTTTTTTGATTTTAGACTCAACCATTTAGTCTAAGCATATGGTATTCATTATTTGGGTGTTTATTCAAGGCATTTTTGACAGATTATTCTCTTTTTGTTATATATGGGGGTCACTATTTTTTGTTAAACATACACTCTAAACAATGCTGGGTTGTTTTAACCCAAATTTGGGTCAAATATGGACAAACCCAAATGTTGGGTTAAAAAGGTATTCACTTTCAACTGTACATTTTTTAATTACATTTTTAACCCAACATTTGGGTTTGTCCATATTTGACCCAAATTTGGGTTGAAACAACCCAGCATTTTTTAGAGTGTACCTTAAATGTAACCAGCACAACTGTTTATAACACTAATAATAATAAGAAATGTTTATTTATCACCAAATCAGCATATAACGATTTCTGAAGGAATATGTGACACTGAAGACTACAGTAATGAAAATTCAGCAAAAAATATTATTCTTTTTATAAAATAACAGATATTTTAAATTGCAATGTCACAATGTGTTTTTAAATAGTTTGAAAATAAATAGACAAGTTTGTAAATAAATAAATCTACCAAAACATTAGTTGTGGAAGTAAAGATTGCCTTTTAATAATAATAATAAAAAGTTAATTTCTGCCCCTGCCACCACTAAAGCTAAAATTGTTATGACCACTAGGGGGCAATATTGTGTTAGCTTTAAGTGACCTCACAAACGAGTCAGGTGGTTATCAGCTCTAGAGTCAATGCAAGTTGCTTTCAGTTTAGACAGCTCAGACATTTTAGTCTAGGACTATGCTTAAGCCTTGTCTGTGAAACTTGGCAATAGTGATGACATATAAATAAAATAAAACAGTCAGTTTTAATAAAACAGTCAGCAATGAAACACTGACAAACAAAACACTGCAGTCTACACAGAAAAACAGTCTAATGAATGTTAAACTATTTAAACCACAACTATGCTTTTCTCATGTACACAGTCCAGTCTCTGGTGAATCCCCACAAATGAACAGTCTAGCTATTCACCATGCACCAGGCTCTCTCCAGAACACCATTAGTGTCCTATTTAAGCATTAAAATCATTAGGATTATTTCCTGCTTAAGGGAAATTAGAGTGTAATTGCTCTGGTCTGACTGAGCTTGTTAGCTAAATAATATAAGCCTGACTTCCTTCTGGTGCCAGGGAGAAAATGTTTGAAGAGTGATTTTACATTTACACACATTGCCAGAAGTAGGTCCATTACATCATGCCACATGAGTCACTGAGACGCCACTGACCCAGAACTCCTGGACTGATGATCAAACCAGAGGTGGATACTGGGCATTCAAATATTATTAATATACAGTTAAATACAAACACACAGTTAATCCAAAGCTAGAGGTGTAGAAGCAGTAGTCCCTTTGCATTTGCTACCAGCTGGTATCAGAACTCATTGAAATGGTTGTATTGATTTTGTACTCCTTATTTGTCTTCAAAACCTGCTGAACAGCCTGATCAAATCCCTAAAGACTCACACAAGTTTCACACCAGTAGGTTATCAGTTTATAAAAGGAGGACAAAATATGTCTTGCGGCTATAAGTTACATACAGTAAATACAGCTTCCTTTAAAGTGTCATGAAAGCCCCGTTTTATCACTGGTCGTTCACACTGTCACTTGTATCTGGTGACATCAGATTTCTCAAACCTTGTTGCTTTCACTCTTATTTTGGAAAAGCACTTTCAACTTTTGTGTCTGACTGGCTCGGTGAGCTTTATACTTCTATTTCTGTCCACAATCTAAAGTGAAAATTATATCTGAAAAAATCAAATAAATTCAGTTCTTTTAAAATTAAGCAAATAATCAAGCAGCACAAAAATGACAAAATAAATAAATAAGCATGATTGTGTCAGAATGATTTCTGAAGAATCATGTGACACTGAAGACTGGAGTAATGATGCTGAAAATTCTGCTTTTCAATCAAATTTTTTTATACTTTAAAATATTTTATTAAAGAAAATGTATGTATTTGTATTTTTGACCAAATAAATGCAGTCTTAGTGAGCATGAGACTCTGAAAACATTAAAAAATTCTTACCGACCCCTGTATGTGAACTTGATGCATAAATCATTAAATTTAAAGGAAATATTTATAATTATTTATACGTTTTTATTGTATGCATCTAATCTAGTGTGTTATAATGATGTGTGTCTTCAAATGAACCTTGAGTCTGACAATTAAAGTTGATCTGAACAGATTTCTCACAAAGTTCTTGAAATTTTCAGCCCGTTATGAGTTTGCATTACACACTTTTAGCTATAAAAGTGTACTCAATGTAATGCTTTTAAATGCATAAATCCATGATAGAATGGGAAATAAATAAGTAAAAAAAAAAAAGTTTCCGTCTGGCCCTATGTACATTTATTCAGTTAACAGCTGAAATAGCACTTTTCTCAATATAATTATACATCAAATGTTGACGTGGCTGACTGAGAAAAGCCCCGTCTTCCTGATGCACAACATGAAATCTGAGGGCACATCATGTGATCTTGATTTACAAAGGGACTTCCTTTGCCCATGTGATGATGGATATTGTCATAGTTTTGTGACACTCCTCCACCTCCACCTCTTCCTCTAGAGCCTTAACATTCCTTCTTCGCTGTCAAGCTCAAACTTGCATGACACGACACTAATAGTACTAAGAACTGTGTGGGAGTATGTGGGTGCCTTGCTTGTTAAACAGATTGGCCCGTATGAAAATGATGTCCTTATCAGGGTTGACACATTCCCTGGAGAAACATGAGCTAGCCAAAACAAACAGAGAGAAAGTAAAAGGGATTGGTACATGTTTTGCATATATATAGTAGTTAATTTGATTCTAATACTTGGAGACACATGCACATACTCACTGCAATATGCAAAGATGGTCCAATTATCTCTCCTTTCCTGAGATCTTTTGGCCTTTCGTCACTTTTTTTTTCCTTTTCATTTGTCTTTCTTCTAGTCTAAAGTAATGGAATGGAAATCACAGAGTGCTCTATTTGCACTCTGCTTTTACATTTTAATTCACTAAGGACGGAGCATTTTGTGACTCGGATTGCTAATAGGGGTGTGAAAGCAAATTTACTTTGTGCTTGTTTCTGGGGAAGTGAAAATCACATGAATTCCTGAGTATGGACGGTCACTTCTGTCCCACTTATGTCCTCATAAAACAGAGTAAGCAGGACAGTGCGATAAATCAGCTATGGTGATCACCAGTGGAAATGAAGAGATGAGATATGGTGATTTAGGGGCAGCGCTGTGCTTTTTTTTCTCCCTGGATGCCAGCCTGGACTCACTTGTGTTAAAACGCATGTAAAGGTATGGCACATCCCTAAATGGGTCATTGAACTGGGACAGTGTGGAATATTTGCATTCGAGATCAACCTAAATGCAGATTCACATATTAAGATTTATGCTTATAAGACGCGTAATAGTTTGGGGTGCAAAATGTTTGGTTGTTGACTTGTTGTGGAACAAAATGCTTTTATTGCTGTTCCTACTGTGCTTACAAATTGCATGATTCATCAAACGTTTCCAGTCAACAAGGTTTACAGTCAGTGCGATAGCATAAGTAAAAGTTATTGTGAGACAGCGTTCATTATCGCCAAATAAACAGCGACAGATCAGGAACAAGACGAACACAGCAACAATATTAATATTAATTCTGAAGTGGTGCAAGCTTATTTTCCCCAATAACTGAGAGACACAAGATGAAGCCAGAGTTGCATTGAGTTAATGACGAATCATAAATGAATTGGATTATTTGCTTGGATTATTATTGTACTATTTGATAATTTGGATTATTACAGGAGAAAATCTGCATTAAATCCATTTATCTGATAACGATGTGTTTTGTCAACTTTTTCAATGCAATAGCATTCACTCAAAGACATTAACTCTTTCCCCGACAGCTCTTTTTTTTATTTTTATTGCCAGCCACAGGACTTTTTTTTATAATTTTCACAAAACATTTCATGGCCCCCAGAATAATGATAGTATGAAAATCTGAATCTTTTCTGTTATTCTAGCTTCATGCATTCTTTTTTATCAACACTTGAATGTGGGTAAGTTTAATAAAAAAAGCAATATTTTGAACAAAAGAAGAAAAAAATCACGTTTTTTCCAAAGACTACAACGTGGATAAGCAATGCTTTTATCATTTGTTTCTGCTCCTTTTTTGCCTGTTTTGATCCAGAGATTCTCTACTGCATAATGCGTAATAGCACCCCCTATCGTATAACAGGGAAAACAAGGAAAGCCGGAAAACTCCGTCAATGGAGGGGAAAGAGTTAAAGGGATACTTCACCTCTGGAAAGATGAATGTGTATTTAAAATGGGTCATTTATGTAGAAGAAATGTGAAATTATTTTTGAATTTGGAGCTTTCTAGACTGAGAAAAGCCAAAAAATTGATTTTTGGCTTATGTGGATGAAAGACAACAACTCCCAGAATG